TATCTTTGCGCATGCGTGCAAATTAAATCCGACATTTTTTCACAAAAAAAATTCGGAAATTATTTTTTCCTATAATTTTTTTCCTTCCAATGCAGTGAATTCAGCAGCTTCGAGGTGAACAGCCTAGTACTGATATGCATACTAAAACAAACTCATACGAAAATCATGTTTGTGTGAAGTTATTATTCGAAATATGTATAAAATCCACATATTGCAGTTTCGAAACCCGTTTAACGTGAAGTGAAAAACGCGATGATATTCGCGGTGATATGCAGTAGTCGTGAAATATTTTTTTCACTACTGTTTTTCATATCACTAGGGTGGTGAAACTCCATTATATTCATAGTATGTACAAATTTCACCCAATTTTCAAGTAGTCTCTATTTCCGAATTTATAAATTTCACCAACTACAAACAAAAACGCAGTCAGGAAACCGAAAATCAATTTTCACGCGAAAATATACAAATTCTGAAAATATTAAAAACTTTCTTATTATTTCTCCGTTTTGAAAACTTCATCTCGAATTTTTTTCATTTATATGACTTTATGAATACCGAGCGTTAGAGGAAAATATTTTCGCTTTCCTCAGCAGTTATCATACGAAATCTACAGAAACCAATAAAATTTTCCTAAATTTTCTCACAAAAATCACGTTTTTACGAAATTATTTTCCCAAAAAATTCATACTACTTACGGGTCTTTCCCACTAGTTGATATCACCCATGCAGAATTATCCAAAAATATTCGCATCGGCTTTACTTCATTCTTCGGAACAACTACGTTCATCTTACCATCTTGCCATACCCGCATCACTACACAAACAACAATCGTCCGAAAAAATCCACGAAAATTTCCCCACATATTTTCCGGAAAATTTTTAGTGTTGAAATCCGATCCAGAAAAAAAAAGATAAAAATTTTCCAAAAAAATCCCTTCCTCAGTATAAACTCAAAAATATATCCTAAATATCTGGAAAAAACCGAAATTCCCTAATATTTTTACACAAGATTTTCCCCAAAAATTCTCACTTTTCGAAAACTCAAAAATTTTCTCCTAATCCCAAAAACCACCATTTTTTTCCGAAAAAAATTCCAAATTTTTCGAAAAATGAGGAGAAAAACTCTCACATAAATATCCATGTAAAACAAAATTATATTTTTCCCGCGCGCCACAAAATTATTATTACGATGCTCTTTCGGTTGGCTCGTTCGATCTTTTGCACCAGGTACTAGCAGGTCTCCTTTCAGCGATGGTAAAGAAGTATTCACCTGAAAAAAACGAAAAAAGTATCAAAAATTTGCAAAAATATACATCATATTTCATATTTTTTTGGAAATTTTATTTAAAAAAATCAGAAAATTAATGCAGTTTCACCCGTTTTACATGAAGTGAAAAACGCGATATTTCCGGTGATATGCAGTAGTCGTAAAATATATTTTTCCCTAGTGTTTTTCATATCACTAGGGAGGTGAAACTCCAATGAGATTTTTCTTACGGAAATTATTGAAAAAATCGAATTTTTCCCAGCAAAAATAACACCAATTTTCATTTTTTCCGTAATAATTTCGTGACGATTACATCTGCCAGCCAACCCAAGTTATACTCCTTATCCTCTTTAGCCTTGATAACCGATCCACTCGTATCCAAAATTCCTGAAAAAATTTTCCGGAAAAAATCGAAAAAATTCCCCTAAACCTACCAGTTGCACAAATTATTCGATTGCCGTTTATTGGTGATGATGAGAATCTAAAAAAGATATCTTTACGCACAGCGAAGATTTTCAAACCAATTTTACCGCGCGCCACAAAATTATTATTACATTCTCGGTGGTCTGAATCCGGGATACCAATTATTATTAATTCCAAATCTCATTTCCTGCGCGATTTGTTCACCAACGATTATGTCGTCGTCCATCGCTCCACTTGCTTCACTTGATCCATCTTGCATTTCCTCAACGCCGTGAATAGATGAGCTCTCAAGTTCATCATCCGAACTCATAAAAAGAGGAAAAAGAAAAAAAGCAATCCCTGAAAATAACAAGAAATATTTTTACGAGGAGTTATATTATTGAGAATTGTTATGTGAATTTTTCACGCACGATTATGTAGCTGTAAAATATAATAGAAGACATTTTATGGGCAATTGAAGTGGGGATTATATTATTAGAATCGTACAAGCAATACGATAATGTGAATTTTTCACGCACGATTATAGTGCAGTCGTAAAATGAAAGTATTAATACAAGATATTGCATGAGGAATTGAAGTATGGATTATATTATTAGAATCGTAGAAGCAATACGATAATGTGAATTTTTCACGCACGATTATGTCGTCGTAAAATATATTGGAGTTTCACCCGTTTTACGTGAAGTGGCGTAATACTCCATGTGAAAAACGCGATATGAAGTGGATTCAAAATACTTCGCGATTTACACCGGACAAATCGTCACATTTCGCGTAAAACACTTAAAACGTTTTCCGCGAAATTCTTCTTATTATAGTTTCACCACCCTAGTGATATGAAAAACACTAGTGAAAAAAAATATATTTCACGACTACTGCATATCACCGCGAATATCATCGCGTAAAACGAGTTTTCAAACTCCAATGATAATTATCCAACCACGACACATACAGATGAGGTTCCCTCCAGAAAGATTCCAAAAGATACAAAACAGGTCCAAATGAGGTCCACTGAAACACCTAAGGGAATTTAATGCTTCCAAAATTCATCCAGTGTGAGAAGACACGCAGATGTGTTGATAACAACAAAAAAATTCTGAGGAAATTTTTTGGGAAAATTTTCATTGGTTTCTGTAAACTCCTGAGCTCTACTGAGGAAAACATATACATGGTCAACTACTACATGTGTTGGTGATGATGACAATATAAAAATTCTGGGAGGAAATTCTAATTGATCTCTGGAAATTTCATGTGTAAACTTCTGAGGAAAGCGAACATATACTCCTCGAACACTATTAATATTCAAAAAAAAATTCCTCCAGAATTTTCGTATTGTCATCATCACCAACACATGTAGTTGATGACCATGTGAATATTCTCCTC